ACAAAGAAATGAGATCAAGTAACTGGCTGGTCATCAGAAAGATGAAAAGTTGTGCACTGATTTAAATCCAGCCAGCCTCTTCAAGGGAAGTGTCCATGATAAAGCGTTCTCTGGCCCAGGTATGTCAACAACACTTCTCTATGGCCAGAAATATTTTAAACAAGGGCTGGGCCCTTGTTTAAATTAAATTACAGGCTCACACCTGTAATTCTGTGAAAAATAAGGACACTGAACATCTGGCACAGACGCAGCAGTAGGAAAGGCACTGAGCTGGATGAAAACTGTCCCTTTACCATGGAGTTTGAGAAGCCTCGTGTAGGATTCAAGGAACTGAGGCTTAGAATCAATGTCCTGTAGTCACTTTTAAGACTAAAATCTGATGACAAACTAAACTTGGGCAGGGAAATCCGAGAATAAAAATGAGGAATGGAGAAGGCTGTGTGCAACACTTAGCATGATTGGAGGTGATCGTGTATGTCACGTCCCCTTGTGACCCGGCAGAGTGCAGGGGCATTTTACAGAAGATGTAGCTCAGTGAGCTAACCAGGCTTGCCTGAAGGCTCTCTGACTGTTAGGGGCTCACATTTCCATCTAGAGCCCAGTCTCTAAACTCCCAGTTCAATTCCCCACCCCAATCCCTTATTGCAAAAAACAGAATGAGAACCAGAACCAGATTGAAGCCTAAGTGTTTAATTATTATTCACATATTTCAGAGAAACAGGAATGTAGCAATGGGTCGGGGTTGTAGAAAAAAAAAATCCTGGATTTTTTGTGTCACTCTATTTATATCTGGGAGCAGGGCCGTCCAGACGTCAGGCGCAGCAGCTGCACCTCTCCGATGCCCCTTTGCAGACGCAGCCCTGGGCACACTTGGCACAGCCCACGGGGCAGCAGGAGCAGCAGCCTGGGGAGAAAGGTGAGAGGGAGAGGTCAGAGCAGACTTGGCCAGGGACCATCCTACCCCATCAGAGGTTTGGCTTGACCCGTGCCTCCAGCGCCAGAGGATGTTAGTTCAGGATGGCATGGCTTTGTCAGGAGACAACTGGTGGATGTTGGGGTGGGTCTTTCTATGAGAAAGCTGCCCAACCCCATGGGAGCCCTGGACAGGGCAGAAGACTGGAAAAGCAGTGATGGCCTACAGGGACAAAGAAAGGCCAATGCCCCAGAAGCATGCTCTCAGGGCCAGCCTTGGGCTCCCTCCCAACCTTAGCCACAGCCCCAGATTCCTGGCGATGGCCTCACACTCACTCTTCTTGCAGGAGGTGCATTTGCACTCTTTGCACTTGCAGGAGCTGGTGCACATGCAGGAGCCACCTTCAAGGAAGAGAAAAAGCAGTGGGCAGTGAGTGAGATGCAGAAGCAGTGAGTCAATGAGTCTCCAGTGTCGCCTCCTCTGTTCAGGGCCAGCCGTCAGAGCTCCTTTCCCACTCAGGACAGAGGAACAGAAGCCCCATGTCCTCTCCACTCACGCTGGGAAGGGGAAGCACCCTCCTGTTTTACCACACCAGGAAGG